TATCTATCTATCTATCTATCTATCTATCTATCCATCTATCTATCTTATATCTATCTATCTCTTCTATCTATCTATCCATCCATCCATCCATCTATCTATCTTATATCTATCTATCTCTTCTATCTATCTATCTGTCTATCTGTCTGTCTATCTATCTATCTATCTATCTATCCATCCATCCATCCATCCATCCATCCATCCATCTATCCATCCATTCATCATCTATCTTTATTATCATCTCTCTTTATTCATCTAGCTGTGTGCCTACCTGCCTATCAATTTACCTGCCTCTCTCTCTGTGTGTGTGTTTGTGTGCCTATCTACTTACCTGACTACCTATCTGCCTTATTTATCTGATCTCTCTGTCTCTCTCTCTTTCTCTGTCTCCCTCCCTGTCTCTCTCCATAGGAAGATAGTAAGAGAAAATCTGCAGGTTTTCGTACCCTGCTAGAAAATCCAAATGGCATTTTGTAGAGCAAGTCACAGGGCCATCGCTCTTGTGTTCCCTCCAGGAAACGAGTTAGACAGGTGCAAGAGTTGATCTGATCTCTTGTACAGCTCCATTGTCTTCGGGTGGAACAGTTTAGCTCTTCCCTCCATCTGATTTGAGGAAAGGAGGAGGAGAATAGATAAAAAAAGATTTGGATTTGAATGTAGGGACCACTACAATGTGGGTTAGAAAACTAATGAGATGGTAGACACAAATATTATGGTTGAACTCTTCCTTGTTCCTTTTGTTGGCATGCATGCACAAAAAGGATGGGCCTTTGGGGCACCATACCCACTAACTTTACGATTTTGAGCAAGCACCCTTGTGGGAATGCCAATTTACAGTTGGAGTGAGTTTCATTCTATATTTGACTAGATATGTTGACGGTGATTCTCGGTCATCCAGGTTGTGGTTGTCCCAAAGGTGATTTTTCAAGAGGCAACTGGAGTTTCTTATTTTTCTTTGAAGACGTTTCTTGCTTCTCATCCAAGAAGCTTCTTCAGCTCTGATATGTATGGTGAACGCTTCCAATTTTTGTGTTCTGATCTTGACCCCAAGTATCAAGCAAATACCTCTAGCCCTGAGTGGGTGGAATTCCTGTGAAGAATTTTAGGACTTTGGTTTCTATCTCTTCCATGTAGAGATTGGCCACAATGGGGGACACAGGTGAACCCATGGCGCAGCTGTGTTTTTGACAGAGCTGAAGAAGATTCTTGGATGAGAAGCAAGAAACGCCTTCAAAGAAAAACAAGAAAGTCCAGTTGCCTCTTGAAAAAGCATCTTTAGGACTTGACTGGATACCAGCATATCTCTGTTCAAAAGAGTGGTATTGATCCATATATTATTTGCATCCTCCAAAATGGCAGTGGCTAAAATGCCCGGAATTCCTCTCAGGAAGCTTTCTGAGAATTCTGCAAATAATCACTTCAAAAAGGAGAAACTCGCTGCAGAATTTGTCTTCTAGGTGATATCTGAGTAGTTAAGTCTCTCATTACTACCATGGTAGGCTTCCTACATAGTGTACATTTGTTAACTTGGTGCCAAAGAGTTCATGTATTTCTTCTGATTGGTTGGGTGGCCTGTAATATACACCTATGGCAATGTCACTCTTTTTTCCCCTTTTATATTGACCCATATACATTCTGGAGGGTTTTTTATCTTTAATCGTGTGCATTTTTGTAGATATGTAATGATCTCTTGCGTATACAATACAATACAATAGCAGAGTTGGAAGGGACCTTGGAGGTCTTCTAGTCCAACCCCCTGCCTAGGCAGGAAACCTTATACCGTTTCAGACAAATGGCTATCCAACGTCCAACGTTTTATTGCTCCTCTGTTTCAGTTTTATAGAAATAGGCAAGAAAATGCGGAATTGACAGCGGAAAAAAACAAGGACAATTTTAAGACGTCTATGAGCTGCTGTTGATGCCCAATATATCACATCTGCTTCCTTCCTGCCAGGTTACCACATGCCAAGACCTGACACTGATGAGTCTTTTTTCGTCTGCAGATATATCTTGTCTCAACTCCAGCTCTCCGTCTGATCATTATCTTGCAATATTTTAAAAGCCACCTTCAACAATGACCTGCCAAGAACATGTCCTTTTCTCTCTCTCTGTAGCAAAACTTTCCCCGTCCCTGGCTTGGAATAATATAGCAGTCACCTTCCCCAGCCTGTGCAGCCAGGAATTAATAAAAGAATATTTGAGATAATTGGGTATGTCTAGTTTCATGAAAAGGAGGACTAAGGGAGAGAGGATAGCAGTCTTCCGATATCTCAGGGGCTGCCACAAAGAAGAGGGAGCCAAGCTATTCTCCAAGGCACCTTGAGGGTAGAACAAGAAGCAATGGGTGGAAA